AAGATTCCCATGTCATCATGAGAAAAGTTACCTAACCCTTTAGCTGTACATCCTACTATAGGCTATTATAATAAAGTTCCTCCAGCACCAAGTTTGGAACAGCTCCCACAGGGAGGTCAGAAGAGAAGTTAAGTAGGTGGGCCATAACAGGAAACTGATGTTGGAACTCCTCCCAACCCAGAGCACCCCCCAGAACTCTAGAGTGGCAGAGAATTTTCAGAAAACAGAGGAAGGTTCTTCTTCCTCATTCGGTTACCCAATCTAATATGAAATAAGCAATCACAGTTTTTTGTGAATTTCTGTAAAACAGAAGGCAGAAATATTTTGTGAAAGATGTTACTCTAAAGATACGTCACAATACCATAATTATATGACATTGAGATAAAATGTTGAATGCAGAAGGCATGAGAAATCAAAATAGCAAGTTTTACGGTTACACATAATCATACTTAAGCCAGTATTTTTAGAGCTTTTTTTCCCCCACATTCTAGCCCTTATCATACACACCAGACACAGTGCATCCGAGATTTTACTAGAAAAGTACGGTCTACTTACACATTTATCCAAATTTCCCTTCCTGGATGAAAGGCAGGAAGAACGAAACCTTCCTGTTGAGGACAAATTTCCTAACTTGAATCACTCTGCTGTTGGCTACACCTTTGGCTAGTCTTTGAGCTAAAAGAATTATCACCATGGGCACAGTGATACACAATTGGCACTGAGGTGTCAGAAGAAACTAAACCAGAAAAGATGCCCAGGTCTGAAACCAGGAACACTTCAGTGTAGTTACCTGTAGGCCAAAGCGCACAGAAGCTCACACACAAGTAACGCAGTTAAGTGTCAAACAAATTAAGTCAAGGAATACATACAAGTGCAAGGAGCAAGATGTAGGAAAAGAGAAATAAAGTGGTGCCGCGCTTCTTGCCTAGCTGGATTCAGAACACAGATGTGTGAAGCGTGGCACTGACAGAAAAGATGCACCAGATGTTAACATTTTTCCTCACAGACCTTTAGTATGCAGGCTAAATTGTTCTTCTTATGTTGAGAGAAGCCCGGTTGTAGCCCAGAGAGAAATTTAAATAAGTAAATACTCCAGATTCTGAACGGGATGTCGCATAAGCAAATCTGTATGAAAAGTAATAGACTATGACCTACATGACAAAAAGTGGGAAAGACAACTGCCTTGGGGAAAGGCCCAAGATTATTAACAGCACTGTGGCCTTCCAGGAAGTAGCTGGAAAACTGCTTTTTTAATACTTACTTCCCTCCCCTCTCCCGGAGGAGAGATGGGTCCTTCTCCAGCCAAGCCAGCCGCCCTCACCACCGCT